ACAACAATTGCGCCCATGCTACCTTATTTCCAACAAGCATATGCGAATAGGTCATAATTTCTTAAATATATAGAAAAATCGTGTTTAGAACAATTCCTTAATAGAATTTTGTTGACATACTTTTCTTTCTATTCGAAGATGTGAATTGAATAAATTCATAAATTTTCCTCGGAAGCCGAATAGAACCTCGGCACCATCTTGCGACCCCAAATGAATCCGAACTCAGTATAAATTTGATTTAAATTATTTCCTTTTGGATCTAAAAATATTATGCATTTTATGCCTGCCGTAATAAGTGTGACATTCATAATAATTAGATTGTTTCGTAGCGTTGATTTATCATTGATGCTTGACCTTGTTCATATTGGTAGGAACGCACCTAGTCCGGAGTCCATTGTATGCATGTAAATTTCTAAAGTCGGATCGTGGACGCGGCACATTCCCAGACGTTTCGCCGACATCGTAGTCGGCATCGTCAGTGAGTCTTGCCAATCTTGGACAAGTAAGCCGATCATTTCACAAAATGTGTGCTAAACAGTTGTGGTATCTCTCCTGTCCTGGGCTATTCGCCTCTCCTATAACATCGTATCACGCGTTTACTATCACTATATTTTTTTCATTGCTTAGTTAAATGTAGTGTGGCGTGCCCTTTTTGAGCGGCAATCCTGTTTGTATCCCTAATACAAAGTCTATGACTTGTTATGTCCTAGTCTCTTGTGTGCTTGTTTTGATTAGGTTTAAGGCTTAACCACAACGTTTTTAGGTTGGCACACAAGAGACTATGGCATAGGAAGTCATAGACTTTGTATTAAGGATAGAAACATAATAGACGCCGCCGAGATTAGGGCTAGTTGGCTGACAATAGGCCTGCTTAACCATAGACAAGTGATTCCTAAACTGTGCGCCGCGGTGCCTCGGGGAGCCGCAGATCCTGTACAGAAGCGCCTCGAAATATAAAAGCTTCAATTTGAGAAAATGGGCAGTGATTTGCAGGCCCATACATCACATTAATTATTAAATATTAATTTAATGTCAATAAAGTAAAAAATGAAGATACACGAGTTTTATTCATTTTTATCTCTTACTTAAGAATAGTCATACTTAAGGTAGAGCACCATGGAAAAAATTTAATTGAAAAAGGTAGTCGCGACCAGGAAAAGTTTGGAAACCACTGCATAGACATTGTCCATGCATACAAGGCTTGACCATGAGACTTATTCAGATGCTTTAGCTTCGAATTAGTCACCCAGACGTAGGGGAGAGGTAATAATGCCTCAAGTAGCACAGATGGGGTGGCAGGTTTCGAGTAAAATACTTGAACCATGGAGATGGCAGGCGGTTTCTACGGGGCAAGAGGGAGACTCTGATAAGACCTACGGAATAAGGATTGCGTAAAAATATGGCAGACTGATCAGCATTCCTAGCACAAGGGTTAAGGCAGTGAAAACGCCAGCGTGAAGTGTGGAGGGTTCTCATGAAAGTCGCTTAAAAAGGGCATACCACAGTACATTTCAATTAGCAATGGAAAAGAAAAAATTGTGATAACGAAGTCGTGATATATATAGGAGAGATAAATAGCACAGATGATACCACAACTGTTTAGCGCTAATTTGGTCAAATGATCGGCTTACCTTGTCTCTGATGAGTTGTAGTATGATGCTAAAACTGGCAATACTCATTGACGATGCCGGCGTACGTCTGGGAATGTGCCACGTCCACGCTCCGACTGGAAATTATCATATATACAATGCACTTCGGACTACGTGCGTTCCTCTAAGTCTTCATACCAATATGTCAAAGTTGCAAAAACAAGGTCGACCAACTTATTTACAACGAAAGGGAAGACTGACCACACAAAAAGCCATACCATCTTGGTCTTTATATCTTCGATTAATTTTTTATTGATAACAAATTCTCTCTTAGCGCAAATTTGAGATCCAAAATAAAAAAACATTGACTATAATCATCAGAAAGTTTGACTTAAATTTACGCTTTCTTTTTGATAAACCCAGCCATCATTTTATTTCTTTCTTAGCTTCCAAGCCGACTCACTTTTTAATCCATGTCATCAGTTTGCTGATATAGTTATCAAAGGAGAAATATGCTCTAGTGCTGATTCCGTGAAGTCGGCTCGCAGTGCTTATCAAGCTTTGTCATTCGACCAACGCCACTTGACTATGTATCTCATCCTTAATGCCTGTCCGCTTCGTTCCAATATTGACAAGGTAGCTGGTGGCTGCACTGGCACTGGTGAAGCTGCATCTACTTTGGCTGTAGATGCAGCGAAGATCTTGGAAACCCTTGAGCAGGTAATTCAGGCCTCTGTTGAAAACAATGCAGAACTGCGATTTCTGTAAGTTGCTATTTGTTTCCGTCTAATACATTTTATTATTGTTTTTTATTATTTAATAGCCTATTTTAGGATCTTTAATTTTTAATGGCTTAGATTTTGAAGCTACATTCCTATTTATAAGCTTTTGAGTATATCAAAACATGATACAAAAATACATTTATTTCGATGATTTTCACTTGCATTGCGAATGTCTCTTTCGAAGTTTCCCATCTTTTACGTCATTGGGCAGTGTTCTTTCCTCGTTGAATAATGGGTTTGCGGAAACTTACCGGTATCAGCTTTTTTATTCATCTTTACCTCTATTGTGGCGAAATTTCCTCTGGTAGAGATCCATACTAAGCTATTTTAAATTCGCAACTAATTGTTACTGTTACTACATAATTGACCGAATATTGCTCTTCATAGCTGATGTTAAGTTGATAATAATAAGAAAAAATCCCCGACCGAGACTGCGCAAGTCCGTGAGCACGTATGGTTTAGAAAATGCTATGCAAGCATGTCCTAACCTCTCAGTGTAAGGTCATTAAAGTTTGGCCTCCCAAGGAAAGGCATGACTAGGGGCTGTGTAATCTCATACGTCTGGTTTGATTGATGAGCCTAATCTAACATTTTACGCGAATTGGAACCATCACTGAACTGGCAAGTTAATTCGTCTTTTGAAGGGTGCCCTAATGCCCTTTCTCCTTCATTCTGACAATCAAACAATTAGTTATTTGAAGGTAGGAAGACCAAGATGGTGTGGTCACAGTCTCCTTTCGTTGTATATAGGTTGTTTGACCTTGTTTTCGAAACTTGATCATATTAGTAGGAAGACTTTGAGGAACGCACCTCCTCTGGGTCCATGTAGCAAAGGCGTAAACATGAGATTTACTTAGAGGCTTATGCCTCGAGTATCACAGATGGCATCACAGAGTTCGAGTGAAAAACGTAAACCAGAGATATAACAGACGGATCTTACGGGACAAAAGAGAGACTGTAATAAGACCTAAGGAAGGAGGACTGTGTAACGATATGGCGGACTGATCAACATTCCCAACACAAGGGTGAAGGGGGTGAGAACGACATCGTGAAGTGTGAAGGGTTTTCATGAATGCCGCTCAAAGGAGCACACACCATCACATTGAAATAAGCACGGTAAATATAGTAACTGTGAAGGCGTGATATGAGGATATAGGAAATATGAATAGCCCAGGACAGAAGGGGAGATTCCACAACAGTTTAGCAC